AGTACATTTACAAGACTCAGTTCTTCCAAATACCAAAGATTTCATAAAAAATTTCTAACTTTACTGATAGGATATCTTGTAAGTACTATTCGAAATTCATAAATCTTGAGCATCGCTATTTTAGCAATAATATAAACTTTTTACTAATCTCAAACTTTTTTTCAATACCATCATGTTATAATTTAGCATTTAGATAACACTGGATTACACTTTATTACCCTTTGCCCTCGAGTGGCAACTCTACGGCGCCATTAAAAACAGCAGTATCGCGTTTCGAAATAATTTGAACATTATCTCTCTCTCTCTCTCTCTCTCTCTCTCTCTCTCTCTCTCAAATCGGTTTACATATCAAATCTGTTAAAAGTGTAACTGTCGCATGAGTCGCAAAATGCAATTTCGTGCGTTTAAAGTGCATTAAGTTATATAAAATGGAAATACTATACGTGGAAGAAATTACTTTGAATTTCGAGTTAAAATGTCTCCGATTGCAAAGGGTATAAAGTATGGTAAATTCCATTGCTGGAATTGATCAATTTTATCGGCTTTAAATACTGGATAAAAAAGCAGGTATTAGAAACCTAATGCAATAGCTTGACGTCGTTTACCTTCGATTCTCAGGAATTCCGATCGTTCAAACTTGAATGACAGTGTTATCGATGAGTTTAGAATCATGCTTAAAATGTCGGAAGCACGAGACTTTACGGTGCGTTAAAAACGACGAGGAACAGGAAATCAGATTTGACTCCTAAACCGATGTTAATTTAATGACGGCTGCGTGAAATTAGTTTCGGTCGTGCACGTGCACGTTTCACACGAGCGGCAGTGATTGCGTGACTCGGTCGTGCACGGCGTGCACGACAGTCGTGTTACATACGTAACTGTTCCAAGATATCCGCGATTTCGTGTATCAGATACATTTCTGGTTTCTGCGACACCGGTTGAACAACTGGTGCACGAACATTCATTGTCGATTACTTTATTAATCCCTTGGCGTACTTCGACGAGTCCGTCTCGCGATGAAAATTTCTAGCAATGACTTACTATGTATGGACGTTATTCTGTTCATTAACATTGCAATGAGATTCTAATCCCTTATGATCAATATTTAACCCTTAGCGAGCAACAACTATCAGCAACTCCGGCACAATTATGGAGCAAAGCGCCTGAGATAAAGGAAGTCTTATTTTGAGCGGAAAAGATTACACGTCCTTGCGAAAGCGTTCGATTTTATTAATTTTATGTTGCTAAGTATAAAAATGGGCAAAAAATATTTTCATCTTAATGGTATCTACTTGACATTGTGCGAGGTCGGTGCATCGACATCGTGAATTGTGACCGAAATTTCCAAGCAGCAAATGCATCCTCATCGAAATGGGTAAATTTACTATTAATGATGTCCTTCACAATTCTTAAATAAATATATCCCTCATGTTCTTTGACGCGATTTATTATAAAATTAGCATTGCGAATCGTCTGTTGAATTCTCTTTGGATACGGAATTATCGAAACAAAAATATCTTCTGCGTGAGTTTGCCGGAATTTTTTTATTGTTAACCTTCGCTGGAATCGGCTCGATTAATAATTAAATGAAATTAAAAAATAGTAAATATTCTTCGGACGTTCTGAAATGATTCATTTTATGTTGCTAAGTATAAAAATGGGCAAAAAATATTTTAATCGTAATGGTGCACACGCTAAGCACGTTTTCACTACAAGTAACAATTGCCAATGTCGACAAAAACAGCATCTTCGGAGTAATCATGCTAAAAACATTTGGCTCCGCAGCGGAGTCTTCGGATTTACGGAACAAATGACGGATGTCTCCATAGCGGAGCCAACGGAGCGCTAAGGNATTGTTAACCTTCGCTGGAATCGGCTCGATTAATAATTAAATGAAATTAAAAAATAGTAAATATTCTTCGGACGTTCTGAAATGATTCATTTTATGTTGCTAAGTATAAAAATGGGCAAAAAATATTTTAATTGTAATGGTACACACGCTAAGCACGTTTTCACAACGAATAACAATTATCAACGTCAGTGCTAACTGACTTAACCTCTTGAACCGTATCAGAATCGAAATTTCAACATTGACGGAAAAAACTGTTGTATCACAAAAACATTGTATCATTTTTGATTAATCATTGTAAATAGTTTATTAACATAAATAATTAATAAAATAATAATTAATATAATAAATAATGAATAATAATAATTAGTCATTAATAAAATAATAAATAAATAATTAATAATTAAATAAATAATTCTTTAGGACCAAAGTGCAGATCTCTGTACAAAGTAAAAATTTTCGAAATCAATTGCCGGCCATAGATATTAGATAAAAATGTAGTAATTTTTGTCACTGATTTTATTAAGTCAAAAATGGTGTCAACTATGTTAATGACATTCTTCGAATGTCTACCAAATTTACCATTTTATCCATTCAAATTTGTCATAAATGGATAAAATTCGCGTGAAGAATGATATCCCAAAGTTTTATAATCTACGACACATATGTTTAAATTAAATTTTGAATTTTTAGCGACTGAATTGCTCGTTCAAATCCTAATTAATAAACACTACCGTATTGCGTCATAATCAACTTAAAAATCGTGTTAATAATAATTAAACTGTGGATTTTATGCATTTATGGGAAATATCGGTGGGCGAAACTGAAAGCAGTGAGAAGATTGAAATAAGATAATAATGTCGGCGTACTAATTTCAACTTGATAACATTATTAAGAAAAAGAAAGAAAATTATACTTGGCTCGTCTGTCCTGCAATTGGTGCAGAAATTTTTTATTTTGCACAAAGATCCGCGATCTAGTAACAATAAAACAAATGAACAACTACGCACGAAAAGAAACGAAAAAGTAGCTGAGATATATTATACAGCATTCGCATTAATTAATTCGTGTATTTCTGTATCATTATGTTTTCATGTTATATGATAATAACATATTAAACAGCGTAATCAATTTTCCGTACATTATAATATTATTTTACGTATATTATATTTATTGATTTTCATTTAAAAATCTTGGTGTAAAACAACCAGAAATATTTTGCAAATTTTCATGCTGCCCAGTTAACGTAAGTAAATTTTCGTTCGCAAATCTTTCTTTAAACAAACTAATGGAAAACTAATGCGAGTTACATACTAGCTTCTAACTCCTCTGGCCATAGCGACTAGCCGATAGATCGACTATTACAGGATTACACGAGTAATCTTCGTTTGTTAGATGCAGATCAAACATGGCATGTGTCGGGGCGGCCGAATTTTCCCAAAGCTTTTGTAACAATTACGCGGCTTACGGTACCGGTAACACGTGTAATTTACACCCCTAAGTACAGAGTTTAAAGCGAACGGAACCACCCGGAGGTAATGTTTACTCCACGTTCCGATTCGGGGTTGCCGGTCGCGATCGAGCGTAATACGTTGCATGCGGGGAAAAAAGCGTTGTCACGTGGCGAAAAACAATTCAGCGGCTCGCGTCGAATCGCGGGTCTCGATGCAACATATGTGGATACCTTGCGGCGCATATGCGTCTATTTACCTGTCACACTAGTGACGATCGTGTATGGACAATTACACGCCTGACCGCCAAAAAACCAAGCCTTACAGGTGCGTTTACTCACGGATAATTACTGAACTGGCTGGGCAACGACACATGCGACACCTAATAGTTCACTATTACCACGGAAATGTGGCCGGTACTGGGGCGAAATTTCGATCTCTTGAATCCTAAAATATCCTATTTATTTTTTATACGTGTTTATTCTGACAAATAAAAAACCTACAATTCCATTCTTTCACGTTAAGCTGTTGCCGAATTTATGGCCGTGTGCTTTTCTTCAAAGAATTACAATGCGTTCTTGATGAAATTAACAACGACAGTTGGACTGCGGATTTTATGCATTTATGATCAAAGTGGCTAGATGAGATTTAAGAGAATGAAAATATTTAACAAATTTAAGGACATGTACGTTTTATTTTCAACTCACTGAAATTATTAAAAAGAGAGAAAAATTTCTATTTGACTCGCGTTTGTTAGAGTTCATGAAAATCATTTTTATCTTGCACAAAGATCCTCGGTCTAGTGATAATATACAAGGTGGGTCATTACATATTACCGTATCGATTAACATGATTATTATTATTCGTGGCGAAAAATATTTAATACCTAGTATTAACCTACTTCTGTCGAAAAGTTAACAGTTTAAGAGATATCTCAATTTCAACCACGCTATCGAATACAAACAATCGTTTTTGTTAAGCTAATGTTGTTGGCGAATACAGAAATAACGTCTTACAATATTGGTGCGACGGTAATTATTTAAATTGAAATATCGGCTGAACTGTTAATTTTTACACGTGTAATTTACACCCCTAAGTACAGAGTTTAAAGCGAACTATTAATTTTTCGACGTAAGTAGGTTATGTCAATACATGTTTTCATGTGTATAACTTATGTCGGACTACATCCATTGATGTATAACAAAATACGTCGTACCATTTAACAGAACAAAATTGACCTTCGTATGACCTTCGCTCACGTCTACTTGAGAAAAAAAGCTAATAACAGCAGAATCGACGCGGTGATATTTGGTAATTCACCCTGTACAATGATAATTAGACAGCGGATATTGTGCATTTATGGCAAAAATAAATACATGACACTAAGAACACAGTGAAAACATTTAAATAATTTAAAGATTCTACTGTATTACGTTCAACGCGTTAAGCTTATTTTAAAACAAAAATAAATGTATGTTAAGCCCCTGTACCTTGCAGTCAATGCAGACTGTTTTTATTTTGCATAAAAATCCGCCTAGTCTAGTGATAATAATAGAGAAATAAGTTTAAAAAATTTTTGAGTAAGTTTAAAAAAGTTTTGTGCCGTGATTTTCAGGATCTTAGCCTTGTATTTAATTAACGATAGAAACACTCTCGCAACACATACACTTGAGAAAATGAAACCACGTCTTTCTCCTTACCTGTACAATGTTCTTCTCGAGTTTAAATGGTGCTGCTATGCTTGATCTGTCTGAACCACTTGTGTTTGAAGAAATTACGGATGTTCACACGCATATCTGCATCAACGACCGTCTCCGTGTCGAACTTCTTAAGCCAGCGACGTCGGCCATCTTGATTTGCCCAAGATAAGGAGCTGTTTAATTTAACAGTTACTTCGTTCATTATCGCTCGCACATGATTGTCAAGCAGAATACATGCCTCAAATCATAACATAATTTATTATATGCTTCAGCTACATTTCTGTTGTCGCTATAGAAGTTTCTGACCTCATTGTATATTTTACACCAACAAAATACTACGAATTTAAACAACAACTAATATTGATACTATCATCTTTTCTACAGCAATATCGATACCATCTACTTTTCTACGCTAAACCTTTGTGTGTGTGTGTGTGTGCATGTTCACTATTATTACCTATATTATACTATTATACTATTATACTATACACTACTACTACTATACTATACACTATTATACTATTATTATATATATTATCTATACCATTAACGTTTTTTGCACTACTCTTTACAAGCATATTCACTGTTAATATCGTCGGCATCAACTTTTCTACAGTGATCTTTACAAACGAGTCCACTATGATCCGATTCCGAGAAAATTAGAGGTGAGCGAGAACCCAAAAATGTCGGGATCCTGATAGTCGGGACGGGTTGTGAAAAGGTCGGGCCGGGTTCCCGAAATTTTCGGGATTCCCGAGAGAGTCGAGATTCCCTAAAGAATCGGGATACTAAAAAAAAATCAAGATTCTTAAAAATGTTCAAGATTTTAGTTTGTGAATCTAAAATGATAAGGTTATCAAAACTCTTAAAAGAAAATAATGCAGCACATGCGTTGCTGAAGAATATACTTTACTTTAAATTGTTGAAAATCCCGACCCGATATTTTCGGGTTTTCATATACCTCTAGAGAAAATCCAATTAATACGATAGATTCCGTCAGTACATCACGACATTTTTTAATTTACTTGTGCACCGGATTCATAAGTATGTATTTATTATGATTTCGGTTTCTCGTTCTTCTTGTCGTACAGACTTTCGAAGTGTAAGCACGCGCCAATAAAGACTTTGAGAATTTACAGTGCTCACCGAGGGAAGTAAAGAATGATCAATCAAGAGTGTTCCAAAAGTTAATCCATCGACAGAAAATCGACTTTTAGTATCTAAGAATATACGATAACGCGAGTTTTTCTGCGACGCGACACACAGTGGTCCCATTCGATGAATTAGCTGTTCATGACGATTTTAGCAATGTTTTAAAACGTAATAACAGTTTTAAATAGGTCGTTGAATTCATCTTGACGTCAGCTATAACATTATTAAGTACAAAAGGTATAGTAATTATTAAAAAATCAAGGTGACTTTAATTTTTGATTCAAAAAGAATTTTTTTTAATCTTTTATATTGACGTTTATAGAAGACTGAGTACTAATTAATTTTTGTTTGGAACATTTTTTTGTCAAAGTACCGGAAATGTCTGAAAAATATCGATAGCATGTGAATAATAAATTATGTTTGTAAATTTTTATTTTATCAGTATATTTCTTGTACTTAAAAATACCATTGTCTATAAGAAATATTGCTTATAATTTATTTGGACATTAATATTCAATTGACTAAGGGGAATCGACAACGTTTTATACAATTAACAATTAATATCTTTTTAGCCTCAACTGATCGCACTTTCTTTCAAAGTGACATGATTTCTACATACTTTCACTTGTATGATCATATCAATGTCACTTCCTCCAACGTCCATAGATGAAAATGATTATTATTTAAAGCGGATTTGTAGCCGGAACCGGGAGTAGTGTCAAGAGGTTACTGTCTTGATTATCAATGGAGCAACAACAATATTAAGTAACAACAAAAATGTCATTATTAAAATATAGGAATTATAAATTAACAGAAACAACAACAATAATATCTTGACGTTCCGTGCGCTTCCAGCGACAGATCTGCTTTGAACAATAATTATTTTCATCTATGGATGTTGGAAGAAGTGATTTTCGTATGGTTATACAGGTAAAAGTATGTAAAAATCACTCCAATCTGAAAGAAAACGCGATCAGTTGAGACTCAAAAGACATTAATTATTAATTACATGAAACGTTGACAATTCTCCTTAGTCCATTGTATATTAATGTTCAAATAAATTATAAGCAATATTTCTTATAGACAACAGCATTTTTAAGTACGAGAAATGTACTATTGGTAAAGTAAAAATTTACAAACATTATTTTTTATTCACATGTTAACGTAATTTTGTCAATTATTTCAGGTTTTTCGACAAAAAAATGTTTCGAACGAAAATTAATTAGTCTTCTATAAACGTCAATGTAAAAAAATAAAGAAATATTTTTTTTTTAATTTAAGATTAAAGCTCCCTTGATTTGTTAATTATATACCATACCTTTAATTATTAATACTATTACGTTAATTATATACTATACCTTTTTTACTTAATAATGTTATAGCTGACGTTAAGACGAATTCAACGACCTATATAAAACTGCCTTTACGTCTTAAAACGTTGCTAAAATCGTCGTGAACAGCTAATTCATCGATTGGGACCACTGCCTGACGCATTGAATATATGTAACTAGAGAAATTGATTCAGAGGTACGTCCAAGATTGTCAACGCAGGATTATTACGCTAGCATCAACAAGAATTCTTTCATAAATGCAAATTTAATACAAACCTACTTCGTCGTAGTACGATCTGTAATAGATAGTAGATTGGTGAATAAAGCGAAGAGGTCCAGCGAAATGGCCTCCTCGATCTTCTGATTTAAATCCATTAGATCGTTTTTATGAGAACCCTTAAAAACAATGGTTTATTCATCGTCTATAATTAATATAGAAGGATTACGAGAAAAATCAGAAAATGCGTGTCAAACAATACGAGAGATTTGGAAGAAATACTTGCAGGTGTACATCGATCAATGCTTCGTAGCTATGAACTTTGGATTGCAACAGAAGGAAGACACATGGAAAACTTACTGTGATAAAGAAAGACGTTTACGAAAGAACCCTTGATGATGCTGCTCTGATAACATTATATCGCGTCTCTAATATTCATAAACCCTAAAAGTCGATTTTCTGTCGAAAGGATTGACCTTTGAACCGACATCGATTCGACATTCTTTACTCCCCTTGATGAGTACAATAAATCCACAAAGTCTTGAACCACTTTTCTTTTAACATCCTCTATAATCGCGTAAAGTATATCGTTCACAACGCGGATAGACTATTTTCACCAACCCTCCAACAGATTCGACAAATTTCTAATCCAGCGTTAGCAAACTATGACGTCGTAGACCCCGAATATTCTAAATTGACCATAAATTTTAGTCGAGCACGCCACATTGTTTAAGTGGACTCGCGAGTCCCCGCATTCGTTAAATCCTCCTACCTCACCAATGCCGTTTGCAACTATAGTTTACGATCATAATACCGCACATGCAAGTCACTGATCTCGCTAACAAAAATCCGAAACGAACCGTATGCAAAGACTACGATATGCAAAACTATAAAAACCAACGGAATCATCGATAGAAAAGCTCCGAGGAAAATTGCCAAATGAACCACGAAAAACAGGGAAAATCAATTGAACACTGGTAGCTTCTGCAAGACATGAACTAAAAACAGTTCCGTAGAATCACGAATTTACCAGGCCTGCCTCTGTGTTCCAATTCACGATCCGATGGCCGTCGGCTTCGTGCTACCGCTCGGTATCCAGCACGGTGGGCGATCGTGAACGGCGTTGATCACGGAACGGAAACGACCGGAGGTTCTTTGTCGCGAGGACTGCGGCCTAGTTGGTGCACAAGGGTGTGCGCGCGGTGATCTATGGGCTCGTAATTTTTGGTCTCTGCTCGCCGCACCGGGGGTGGCCGAGGATCCGATGGGGTTGCCGTTGATCGGCTCCGCTCGAGGTACACGCCCAGCGGAGAAATCGCGCGCGCACGATGGTAGCTGAGGTCCGAAGACGATTGGCTGACAGGCGGGGCGACCCTGTCGTGGCCCGCGAGTCCTGGTGGTTGTGCGGCATCAGGTCGGGGTCGAACGAGCGCAACCATCCCCGCTGGTCGCTCCAGGAACGCTTTGCTACCGCGCCGGAAGCGTGAAAGTCAACTCCTCGCGTATTTCCCCTAATAACTCGCCGAAGAATGTATTCGACGCGACGCGACTCGACACGGGCAATCCATGTGCCATGCCGCCGTAAAAGCTCCATCAGCCGCGACACGATGTCGATCGCCCCCAGCTTGTTTGAGAACTTCGTGTCGCGGCTGAGACGCGTGCAACTGGCTGACTGGGCCTAAGGACCTCGGGGCAATTGGGAAACGGTGCATGTTTAGCACATTTTGGGATAAATTGGATTGGTGGAGGGATTGCGCTCATTATGTGGCAAGGTTCTCGTCGGAGCTGGGTAATATTTGTAGAGAAAATATTAGGTCTACCGGAAAGTTCTGTCTGTTTTTTAATTGAAATATAACACAATTTTCATAGATTTAATAATATTTATTGTAGAATATACTTTCCATCGTTACTTATGACTTCTTATTGATGGCAACTTGTAAATGCCATTTTTAAAATATGATTTATTTTTAGAGGCGAAGAACTGAACTAGTGCTTGGTTAACATCAGCTTCAGTTTTGAATTTTTTCCTATAAAAAGTGTTGTAAAGAGAGAAACAAGTGATAATCGGAGGGTGCTAGGTCCGGGGAGTATGGTGGATGTGACAGAATTTCCCAGCCTAGCTCTGCGATTTTCTGACGAGTCGCCAAAGCAGCATGT